TACAACAATTTCCTCCTCTAAATAATATTTTCCCCAGATTAACTGATAGGTCTGCAGTCAACTTTTCTTTAGTTTGCTACATTACTGAAAGTGCATATTAAGCTGAGACTTAAACAATGCTCTGTACCGACGCTGCCATACGTGTGCCCTGCTTCAACTTGATCCCAAAGCCTTTGTGGCTTAAGCGTTGACCTGGCAAATGCGAGGCGAGGTAGCAAGCGCAACAAGACTTAAGGCACTTTTGAAAGGCTTGTTGATTTGTTACTATACCAATAACAGAGGTAGCTTAAATTTACTTTGAAATATGAGATTTAAGGGTTTACGTAAATAAAATAATTGCATGCAAAAAATTAATCTTCCCCAGATATTTAATATGCATAGGAGTAAAAACGAATGCGGATTCAGTATTTGTTTGTAATTTCGGCTGAATATACACAGACACAAAACGAAAAGTTCTTTATATATATATATGTATGTATATATAGTTTTAATGCACGTCGCGACGGGCTGAATGTTTGCTTGCATGGCTGATTAAAAATATTGCATATCAACAGGCGCGCAGTGGATGGGAAGCGCGGGCGGACAGCACTGAAAATTGGCGTAATAAAAAGCCGTAAATTTAAATTAACAGAGATACAGGCGAATGCATACATATGCATATAGTGAAGAAGGGAGTGAAGAGGGCATTCTCCTATTCACTGACGATGCGGCAGAGCGGCTTCTATGCTGGACAAACGTAGAATGCAAACGGGTTGCCAAATAAACAAGCAATGAGGTGAGCAAACCAACAGACAAAACGAACGCACACTGAAAGGGAGTGAGCAAAGGTCCAGAGCCGACACTGGGCCACAGCCAACTGCAAATAATTAAGCTCGCCCAGCTAGCACCTGTGGCATCAGCCAACAACATGCCCAGGTGGTTGCAACTGTAACCAAAATGCTCCGAGCTGCTTGTGTCCTGGTCGGGCCGACTGCTCTTGGCCGCTTCGGCTGTAGCCATATGAATGTAAATAAAGTTCAACCATGAAATACACCGCAGACAGATAGGCTGCTGCTGCTACTCCTGCTCGCCCTCCTGCACCTGCTCCTGCTATTCTGTGCTCCACTCTGTGTAACGGAACCCGTGCCCATGACGGCAAATATGTACAGAGATGTGGGGAAGCCGCATATAGAACATGAGCAATGGTCAAACGGCTGTTTAAGACTTAAATTATGCAATTTGAGGGCCAGCACTGAGGCTAGCAAATAATTAATACTAACAACAGAAATGATGATCGACCTGGGCATACGCCACACTACGCCGCTGCGGGGTGGAGGATGTGGAGGTTGAAGCCTTGCCTGCGCGGCTTGTCAGCTGCTAGGGCTACTTTTTCCTTCCTTTAGCCATAAATAACAATTGCCAACGACTTTGCCACAACATAAAAAAAGCAAAAAGGAAGGCAACAGCCAGTACGAGGGCAGAAAATATGGCGCCGAGATTCGGTTTTATGGTGATTGTGAGGGAAAATCGGCGTTGGGTCAAAGCCAGTTGTCTGGCAGCGGCGATAAAAACCAACGCAAATATGAAAAGCAAATGAAATCCTTTTAATTTGGCAAATAAAACTGAATGCCAGGCGGTCGTCGGTTCTCTGTCCTTGGTCCTCGACTCTCTGTCCTCGGCTCTTGGCCCTGTGAATGCAGTACAAATTTGAACGAGCCCAAAAGATGAGCAAAGAAAGAGCACAGCACAAAAGCTGTGGAGGGCTTGGAGTCTTAACTTTTGGCATGTAAATGCTTTTTTCATGTATCCTGCAAGTGAACGAACGCATGAATTAAGTCAATCCGACATAACCGAAGCTCAAGGAGCAGAGAACTCAAAGTTCATTAAGTTAAACAAAGCTTTTAACATTGAGTTCCGCATGAATAATCATTACGCATTTCATCTCCAATAGATTTATTGGGGCTTGTTTTGTGCATACTTGAATGGCATCGAGCATGCTTGACTACGCAAATGAAAATACGCTTAAGTAGTAGTGTGGCTACTCCTGGCAATGGGCAGTGAGGAGAGACTACAGTAAATAAGATTGCATTATTTCTATACAAGGGAAGCAAATTAGAAGCCAGAAATTAAACGTACTTAAATTACAATTAATTTCGCATAAAGCTGATGCAGAGCACGGACTCAGATACACACACAGAGATCCTTACTGAGAACTCTTGTCTCCAGACACACCGACACACACGCACGCACACAGCCAGACACCTATGCTCACCCAGTTGAGACATATCATTAACTTTGCTTCATAGCAGCAACAAGAACGACGCTGATAACAAAATATTTATGTCAAGAAGAGGTGTAGTGCGGCAAACGAGATGAAGTGAGATACGAAAGAAAATAAGTCCACAGTGGGGTGGGGTGGAGCCTTGCAATATATACATACATATACATATACATATATAGATATATATACCGTTAGCAGTGCCTTGATAAAACGCCCACGCGCGACACTCAACACTCAGCATCCAGCCGCCCCGACATGGCTTACCATGCAAATTCGAGAGCCTATACAAATATTCATAAAATAACTTGAATCGCTTGCTCCAAATACTTGGCAGATATGAGATTTTGCGCGTTTCGGACTGCCCAGGCGCACGCAGATATCCGATTTGATGTGGATTAGAGTCACCACAAGTCCGCTGCTCCCCGCTGCCCCCGGCACCTGCGGCACATAATTTGCTTTTAATTTTTGTATATTTGCTGCGATGGCAAATCAACAAAATGAAAAATTCTAAAAATGAAAATTTCAACATATCAAAGCTCGGCTGGAGTGGAAAGAAAAACCCACACCAGAAACCAGAAAAAATAAAAACGTTTTAAGCACGCGCCTCTTCGCAACTGAAGTAGAAATGCGTGCAAGGATCCCAAAATTTAATAATTTGCTGCAGAAGGAATACCCTTAAGGAAATGTATAGGAAGCTAAACAAAGGCGTCTATAGAGCAATCTGATTTATTTATGGAATTGTCTAGAATCAAAAAAGAATGGAACAAAAAGGGCATGATACAAGAGCTAAACAAATAGGTCCTTAAAATAAGACTTAAGTTAGAGTAAGGTTTTATTTTTAGAACAGTCTGGAATGGAATCGAATAGAATACATAGAGTAGATATAATAGCCAGACTGATAAGTGGGTAAAGCAATAATTGTATTCTGGGCAGAATTAATTTTTAGAACTGTCTAGAAACCGAAATGAATAGATACAGCTTTTAATATCAATAGAAAAAAAAAATAAGCAATACTTAAATCAAAGTAAGAATTCATCTTCTATTTTTTTAACTTTTCCAAAATCAGATGTAAACAGAATACAAAGAGCATAATGCAAACAGTAAAATATCTTGATCAAAAGTAAAATAACTGATGGAAAGGAAACGTAACTTTGATCAGAACTCCTTCTGCACGAACACACTTGCCATGGCAAAATCTTAATGCTCTCTCCAAGGGTATTACCAAGAGGAAGCAAAATTGTGTTCTATTCAAAAGCGAAAAAGCTGGCAGAAATATGGAATGAAATGAAATGTCGCAGAAATGGAAAGAATTGTTGGGAAATGCATACGCGGACAATTTTTTAATGCGAAGGGAGGTAACATGAAACGCTTAATGGCGTTCGTTGGCTGGCAATAAGCAGGCGAAGATGCTACAAAATGTTTGCCGGGCCAAAGGATAAGGGACAAAACAGCCAACAGGAGCAGTGAAGCAAAAGTGAAATGCGCTTGCAGCAGCTTAAATTTATATGACTGAATGTGTGTATGTATGTGTCTGTGTGTGTGTGATTATGTGTGTGTGTGTGGGTGTGTGGGTAAGTGTGTGAGTGCAGTGAAGCGTAAGAATCCTGGCAACAATATCAATATGCGTCTCTTGTGCTGCGTTTGCTACGTAAAGCAACGCCGCTGGCATTGTCAGCGGAGACCCAAGCCCAGCGCCCCTCGCACCGCGCTCCGCGCTCCACTCTTGACGCCTTGGGCCGCCGCCCCCTGCTGACAATTGTTTGCCAGCGGAAGTTGATTTTCTGGCAGAGCGGAAGCGCTGAAACGCTGGAAAATGCCGCGGCAACCAAACGAGACTCGGCTGAGCGGGACAACACTTTGAATTTCATATTCGTTCAATTTTTTCATTTTTTCGGTTTTTTGTTTTCGTTTTTTTTTTTTTTTTTTTTTTTTTTT